AGCCGTTCGTCGGAAATCTTGTGATTTGACGCGACGGAAATCTTCCGCACGGTCACTAAGGAAATCTTCTGCGTGGTCGCGACGGAAATCTTCTGCGATGTCGCGGCGGAGATTTTCTGCGATGTCGCGGCGGAGATTTTCTGCGTAGTTGCGGAGAGAACTTCTTGCGTTGGCGAGACGGAAATCTTCGATGTTGGCGCGATTGCGTTCTGCCTGATCACGTCGGGGTCACCACTTTGTGGACGTAAGTGGTAATGATGGATCAGAGGAAGGAGACAGAGGCCTGGTAAAACTTTTCGATCGGAAGGCCGGGACTCCCGCTTCCTTCCGATCGCAAAAGGGTCAAGCTCGCTCTGTTAGGTTACGAGGACTCAAGGTGCTTCAGGATAACGGCCTACGAGGTAAGCTCACGTTATCCTGAAGCGAGGAATCAGGCTGAGGACCTCCCACGGAGTCCTACATATACCGCGCGTGGGTGTTTTTCTCTTACGAGATTTGTCGCGGCGCCTGCGGCGCCTAGCGGCGGCGCCGCGCACCACTCTCGTCACATGGCGGGCGCGCGCGGGCTCGGCGCGCGGGCCAAACGCGCGTGCATAATTGTAAGCGTACCGCTACACCGCATCTATTAAAACTACTGCGAAATTGGTTTATCGATGAAGGTTTTTTACTTCAACTTTGCGGTAAACCATTCACAGCTGAGATTATGCAAGCCATTATTAACATGGGCAACTCAGGCGATCTTCGTGTTGCACACCGATTAACACAGCGGATATTGGACGCTCGTCATTCAATGAGGCAGGCTGTTAAGCCAGCAGCGCAAATTTGGTCTCACACTGTGGCAAAGGCAATTAAATGGGCTGGAGATTATGGACTTATAAATGTACCTGATTACGAAAAATTCTCTTATTTTGTTTCGACTGTTAACAAGTGGTTTGATGTACATAATTCTCAGCAGAAATATGGTGCGCATCCAGGAGTAAACGGCTTCGGAGTAAACATTGATAATCAAGAACCAATTATAATATTAATGAATTTATATATTCAAAATATGACAGTTGGTTCTAGAAAGTCACTAATGCCTTTTCAAAAAGGCATTCTAATTAGTAATACTTCGCTTCGACGATTGTATGACTATCTTAAAAATAAATATCCGCAGGAATTTCAGTATATTTTAACAAGACGTCTTCAGCAGGATGTGCTAGAAAATTTTTTTGCCTACATAAGAGCTATAGGCTCCTGCAAAGATCATCCGTCAGGATATGAATTCAGATATCGCCTGAGATGGTATATTTTAGGCAAACACAGTCACGCAGTATTTTCCATGAATCGCAATACTGAAGAAGATGTCGATACAAGCTGTATGTCTTCATCCATCGCTTGCGAATCATCCTCAACTTTGTCAGAAATTCCTTCAACGACAGTGACTTCGAAATTTCTATCAACGTCATCTCCAGTTGCATCAACATCAATGACGAAATGCTCATCAACATATGAAACATCTCAAACCATTTGTGAACCCACCAACATTTTTAATACATCTAATAATCACAGTTCTTCGGAAATTGAACATCATTTACAAGTTGAAATAATTCTAACAAAAGAATTATTTTCTAATATTATAAACATTTCACCGGAACAGTTACAAGAGGATTCTGCATATAACAATGACGATTTGGAAGAAAACATGGACGATGATGATGAGGATCAATTTCTATTCATCGGAAAAGATACAGACTTATGCACATTGTACTCTGAAAGTGCGTCAAGTGACATTGTACAAGAAGCGGGTTTGAAATATATTGCGGGATACGTTGCACATCGCTTCAAAAAAAAATATTCCCATTTGGGACAACAGACTAGTATTGCTGTTGACGACAATACAGATCTAAATTGGATCAAATATGTCTCCAAAGGATATCTGATGTACCCTTCCAATGAACTAATTTATATAAGTAAAATCGTTGAAAAATGTTTTAATGATTTTCATGGCGATTACTTTTCTCAAGAGGATTACGTAATACAAAAAGTAATTGCTCTTGTCAAAGAAAATACAGAATATTATCCATGTATTCCAGAAGAGGTGCTACAATGTTTGGTGCGAACTCGAACTTATATAAGAGTTCGAGAGATCAATAAAAAGCAA